AAATAGCTGTCCTGTGACTGGGACGGTGGGGACAAGAGGCTGTCCCAGGCAGCAGGAGCTTCAGCAAAAGCTGGGACATCCCTGTCCTTCCAGCCATGCCGAGCAGGAGAAAAAGGGACAGGCCAAAGCACGGGCTGTGAAAGACACAGAACCAAGAACGTTTCTTTTGCAGCAGCTTCCAAGACATCCGGATGCAAGGAGTAAGGGGAGGGAGCTGGGGGAAGCGTATTTGGCAGCCAGGGGCTGTGGATTTTCACGCTGAAGCAAACCCCACGGGGAATCACGAAAAGCCAGAAGGTCTGCCTGGCTTCTGGGGCCAAGAAGGGATGTGCCAGAGCTATCCCGCAGGGGAAGGGACACAGGGGACACGGGGCGAGGGAAGTTCAGGGCTGACTCATGCTTTGAATTTTGAAAGGTGACAGAAGAGACAGGGCAGTGAACAAGGGGGGACCTTACGCCTTCAGCTGGAAAACAAACCTTGAAAAATCCCTAACGACACGCGTGTGCCTGCCAGAGTCTATCGGCAGAGGGCAGTGACACTCGCACACACAGGCGTACACACACACACACACACACACCAGCCCCCCACCCCACCACCCCCGCCCCCGCCACATCACTGCCAGCCTTTAATCCATCCTGCTTTTTGCTGCTGTCACAGCAAGGACATCTTCCACCAGCCCTGCCCAAACCAAATGCATTCGGTTTATTACTTGAAAAGCATACTGCAAGGGATGCTGCAGGCCCGACATCTGGCCTCTTTTTTTTTTTTTTTTTTTCTTTTTTTCTTTTTTTCCCCAAAGCCCACGTGATATTTTTCTATGTGCTTCAAAGCTGGGGTTTGTTTGTTTTTTCAAAACCAAAAGCTCCGATTCCAGCATCTGCAAGAAACCTTACAGGAAATAACCCGTGTGCACAGAAGTAGTTGAGTGAACATGCAATAGCAATATTTATCTTTCCCTTCCGTATAAAGGCACAGACGGCACGCAACGCTATTCCTCCTGTCACTCACTGCATCCCAGAAGAAAAGGAGATGGGGGAGTTTTGGGGGGAGCTGCAGGATCAACAAAAGAATTCACTGAGGCTGAGTGGGGAAGAGCAATGGGAGAGGTGGACGTCAGGCAGGTCAGAATGGGCGGTTTTATTTAGCAATGGGGAGCAAGGTTTTGGAAGAGGGCAGCCAGGAAGGGCATGCGGGGAGAGGCAGGGGGGTGATCAGCGGCGGAAACTCTGTGAGAGGTGGGATAGAGCAGAGGAAATGCAAGGAGGCAGCGCCGAGCACCACAAAAGGAGCCAGCAGCCCCAGGGTGAAGGCCCACAGAGGTCCCACTCAAAACAACCCAGGGTCGGTCTGTCGGGTTTTATGTACATCGATAGCCAGAAGCATGCTTTCTCTCAGCGTATTGTCCTGGGACAGCACTCAGACTCAAAAAGGGAGGAGAGCTGGCTTGGGGTGGAACCCACGTGAGGGAAGGATGCTCATCACAGCTAACTCACACCCAGCGAGAGCAAGACAGCAGCAGGTTCATCTATGGCTTTGCAAGTAATTTTGGTAGAAAGCTTAGAATCTCCAGGCTGAATATCTGGCATAAATGCTAAGATTTAAGCCACATTTAGGAGGCCTAAAAATGCCAAACATGTTAAAACTTCTGCCCGTTTAATGAAAAGCATTGAACAGCCTCCTAAAGGAACTGGAGTACTTTTAAAATGTGATAGACAAAAACTCTGAAAAGGTCCCTGGGCAGCAGTCCTGGGGGGCTGGGAGCATTGGGCATGAGATGGATCTGGGTATCAACAATCATACAACTGGCCTCTTAACCAGCATCTGCCTAAGTAAAGCTCTCTCTCTCTCATTTCAATGGTAGAGATTCTCATCTCCTGTTCACTCTGTGGATGAATTAAAAAGTGAAGTAGCTCCTTTCACACAGGACTCAGTTACCCACCTCACATTGAATTATTTCAGCTAATTTTTATACGCTTTTGGACATTCCATGTTTCATTGAGTCAAACTCACATGAAGAAGAAATTATCTTGGTAGATTTGGCTACGTTTGTTCTCACGTGCTGTTTAAAGGAGAATAAACACTTCAGCCAGGCTCCTTGGTTAAAAAGGATTGAGGAAATCCAAGTACCAGAGTTCAGACCCTCAAGACAGCAGGTGAGAACTGAAGTAGATGTGTCCAGTGTTGAAGAAATGGGCCCTCTTCCCTCTCCTGACTGAGACATGCAGTAACAGCCTCTTCGTGTTCTGAAAATACAAAAAGAGGAAAATAACTGCACTCTCAGTTATTGTTTACTGATTGCTCCGACAAGAAATATTCCCCAGCTGTTCATCTCAAATATGCACAAGGAGAATTTGCAGGAAGAGAGAAGATGCAGGAAATAGGATGATCTGGGGATGAAACCAGGATCCAGTTTTGGTGTCCTGCAGGCTGTGCTCTTATGGGGAACGTGCCTGTACAGGCACCCCAGAACAACCTTCACCCACAATCTGCTGTCTTGAGCAAGTGGTAACACGAGCTCTTATAAAATTGATTTATCTTGCTGAGGGTGGTTCCTTGCTTTGCCTGCTGGCTAGCCAGGAATTCTTGGTGGCTTGTGACAGAATTATATGTCATGCTCCTTTTGGTTTCCTTGGGCTTCACCCAAACCCACTTCTAATCAGAGAAAAGGCTCCCAGTTCATATGCTACACTTCATATTAGAGTTTGTTTTACTGTCTGGCATCGAAGACAAATAATTTCCACTCTGGATGTAAACCACAGACTCACTCTTTAGCAGCAAAATTTACATTTGAACTTTCATTCGGGCTCAGGCTTAGACCTGGTTCTCAAACAGAAAAGTTTAAAACTTCAGCTTGCTACAGACCAGGCAATCATCAACCTGACTCTGAGCACAGCGTAGTGCTTTCAGGATGGATTAACGCCGGGCTAAAGACACTAATATAAGGACAAAGGCCACCAAGATCTCGGCGTCCTTATTACTACTGCCTGGCCTCTGTTTCAATTCAATGCAAACCTTTCCTAAGGGATTGAGAGCACTTCCTCTGTTTTCTGCATATCCCTTCCTCCAATGGACAATACTGGGCACGGCAGGAAAAGGAAGCACATATGGTTTGCACTCAATGACAGATCACTACAAGGAAAGGACACGGAGAGGCTGTGGGCTTTTCAAGGACCCTCTCACAGCAGGAGTCTGCAACACAGAAGAGTTGTGTAGCTTTACAATATATGACATCATGCAATCCCAGTAAGCATCCTTTGACTGCTTACTCTTGAATTTCAGTAGGACTTCAATAAATGCGGTTGATAGTCCACGCTGTTCCACAGGGAAATAAAAAAGGATAAACTACCAGCATTTGAAACTTTTGTGGTGCAGCAGTTTATCTTAGCAAGGTGTATAATGAGATTTCCAATAAACCACCACCCAAAGGAATAAGCCTTTTTGTCTTATATGGTACCAACACAAGCATTCACACAACTCATGTGACAGAAGGCAGCCTGCATTTGGGCATCATGTGCATGCTATAAAGATCAACTCAAGACAAAATGCAATCGTGCTTCTAAAAACATCGTTAGCTTTTTTGTTTATCTGTGCTGCAGCAATATTGCACTTGCTGAAATAAAACACGCAGTCTGTCTTCCAAGAAGATTACAATCATATAAAAATCAAGTCTGGAATCATCCTTTGCCTGCCTGGGGCTGCATTTAAAAATGTTATTCCTGGCCTGCTCCACTTAAAGATCTCCACCCGTATCATTTATCTAGCTGATGTGCAGTCTGGCTACTGACTACAAGAGACATACAGCCGAGTCCCATGGAAAAACATTACAAAGAAAAAAAATTATGTGTCCGCCTCTTGGTTGCTGGATGCCATCCGTAGGCAAATATGAAGACGATAAAACTGCTTCAAAATGTGCATGGCTACATTGCTGTCAGCCAGAATCCTGGTTTAGAATGGAGTGGGAAGGGGGGGGGGGAAGGAAATTACCATTTTAAGAGGCCTTTAGTGTCTCTTTTGTTTTCACACTGTATTTAAAGACAATCTGAAGTCAACTGCCAAATTGGCTTTGACTGCAGAGCTCAGCAGCTTGGTTTGGTGACACAGCGCAGGCAAACGCTGGTGCCAAAAGCTTTACTGGGATTTTGGCATCACACACCCAGCAGTTCATGTTGCCCTGCACCCCAGAGCTCCAATCTTGAGGCTTTTTGCCATCCTAAGACAGCGGCTAAGGAAAGAGGGCATCGTGGCCGTTCCCCATTCTACTCTGTACGGATCCTCATGGCTGAAATGAGGATGCTTTTGACAGAAAAGTCAGAGAAAAGGCACGTACCACACCGGAGGCAGTGCAGAGCACGGGTAGCGCTCTTTGAGTCAGTGGACAGACTGCAAATGCGCCTACTATGAAGGGAAGAATGGAGCTGGCCAAACGTGTTTTAGGAAGCCAGTCGGGACAGTGCCCCGAGGGCACCTCTCCAGGCTGTCACTGGCCAGGCCGCAGCGACAACCCTTTCCCTGAGGGGGGGAAACGGGATGGCGGGAGCCCCAGGCCCGAATTAGTCACTACCGATCCTCTGCGAGGTCAGCCCAAAGCAGGGAAAGGCCCTGAGGGGGGTCGCTGCCTCAGGCCTGACCCCCACAGTGGGGTTTCGGAGACACTCCTCCCCCCCAATCCCCTCAGGAGAGCCCCCGCCCGCCTCAACCGACAGCCGCACACAAAAGGCGGCTGTTCCCGCCCCTCCCCTATTTAAGCGTCCTCTAGACCAATCAGAGCCAGGGGCGGGAGTGAGGGGGCGGGGCTAAAACCTGGCGATTGACAAGCCCCCTCGATCCCGCTTTTCTACGTGCGGAAAGGGGAGGGCACAGCGCGCTGGTCAGCCAATCCTCAGGCGCGAGTAGACGGCGCGGCCAATCGGCGGCGCGGTAGGCGGGGCCCGCCGCGGGGTCAGGCCGGGAGTGAAGGCGCTCCACCGCTCCTTCCTCTCCCTCCCGCTCCGCTCCCGGCTGGGACTGCTCACCGCGGGATCCCTCCGCCGCGGACCGGCGGTGCGTGCGCGGTCCCGTCCCCCTCCGCCTGCTCGCTGCCTCCCAGCGAGAGGGATTATTTCCCGCGGTTGTGGCGGCGGCGGGGCCCAGCGCGGCGGGACGGGCTTGCGCGGGGGATGGAGGCAGCCGGCGCCCAGCTGAGGGAAGGAGCCGCCCCGTGAGGGAGGACGCGGGAGCGCCGAGGCCTGCTCGGGGCCGCCGGGCCCTCTTACCGGGCGGGGACCCCGCGGCCAGGCCGCGCCTCAGCGCTCGGGCCTGCTCCCCCGGCGGCCACCCTCGGGGGAGCCCGGCCCGGCCCTGCCCGCCGCCGGGGGCTGCCCCCCGCGCTCCTCGCCGCCGGGCCCCCTCGCCCCCCGGGGGGCGGGTTTGCCGGGGGGGCGGGAGCGCGGAGGGGGTCGCTTGGGGGGTGTCGGGGCGCCGGCCCCCCCCGGGGCGCTGCCGCCCGGCCTCGCCGCCGCTGCCCCCCACCCCCCCCGGGTGTGCTCCCTGCGGGCCGGGGGTCGGCGAAGCACCATGGTGGAGAAGCGGTGCCCGCGGCTGCAGCGGGACGGCGTGTACCGCTGGTTCTCCGAGCTGCCCTCCCCGCAGCGCGTGGAGTTCCTCTGCGGCCTCCTGGACCTCTGCATCCCACTGGAGCTGCGCTTCCTGGGCGCCTGCCTGGAGGACCTGGCCCGCAAGGACTACCACTCCCTGCGCGACTCCGAAATCAAGGCCAACAACCCCGCCGACCTGGGGAGCCTCACCAACCTGACGGACGAGGTGGTGCGCAGCAAACTTTTGGTCTCCCTCGCCCTGCTCGGGTCTGCCCACCGAGAGGCGGCCGGGGTCCTCTTCCGTACCCTCACCCACATCGACTCGGTCATCAACAACTACGGGCTGCAACTCAACGAGGGCCGCACCGGGGATGAGTTCCTGTTGCTCTTCACGATGGCATCCAACCACCCTGCTTTCAGCTTCCACCAGAAGCAGGTGCTGAGGCAAGAGCTCACCCAGATCCAGAATATCATGTCCAGCACCAGCAAGAATCCCAGCACCTCTACCCTCAACACCATGGCAACCTATCCTGGCTGCCATAAGGTGGGTATTCTGCTTTTGCACACCATAATGGCACTACTGCAGGGCACTGGGTTGTGTCTTCAGCAGTGATTTCGCACCTTTCGTTTAGCACGGGCGTGCTGGTGATGACTGGCAGAGATCACTTGCTTGGTTGATGCTGGGGATGGTCAACTGAGGGCAAAAAGAGGGGGTGCGTGGAGTTTTGTGGGCTCATGACATTTAAATGAGGAGGGGTTCACAAGCTGATCAACAGGCAGCAGTGTAAAACCTTAACCGATTGCTTCTGGCAATACATCTGCTGAGGGGACAGTCCTCCCAGTTGCATGGAATACCAGTGATTTAGTAGGGGAAGCAAACATAGTGTCTCTAGCTTCGGGAGCAAGCATCTGTTTAAAAGTTTCCCTGGAAGAAGTTGGAAAGGAGGCTCAGCTTTGGGAGTAGCTGTCCAGTGGCAGAGGCATCTTGGTGAGTCTGGGGTTTGTTTAGGCGAATGTGACGGCAAACACTTTGAGTATCTGATACTAAAGAAATGTTGTGGTTGCCTGTCACCCCGCGTCTCTCAGGTATTGATCCGAGTGTCAGTGGTTCACCATCATTAACTTGCTGTTCTTCATTCAATTGCCAACAATTAAGCTAGACAGTAACATTTTAAGAGGGGCTGTTAGTAATTAGATATGTTACTGACTGCTTAAATGCTCTTAGCCTACTACCAATTAGGGAGTCAAACAGTCTTCTTGACTGAATTTAACCTGCTTGAAAGTTCAAACTAAGTATCAGCTAAGTGGGTGTGTATGATCGGTTAACAGGCTGTAGTTTTTGAGGATGTACGGACTCAGTCAGCAAGTAACTGTGTTACCCTTCTCCTGGGAAAGATGGTGTATACCTAAAGGCTGTGAAAATCCCTATGTTGAAGTAGTATCCTAAATAAAGCTGTATCTGAGGGCTCAGAACAGATTCCATTAAGTTGAGCACTGAATTTCAGACTGAGACGGAAGTCTGTGCTCAGTCTTCCCCCGAATACAAATCTCCTTCCAATTCCGTGTTTCTCTGAATACCACCGCTTTAATTGTAAAATTTAAATGAGCATTATTAAACTTTGTATTTCTCTTAATCTTCCTATGTCTTTAAACATAGTGCTTGTTCCTGACATTTTGTTTTAAGGTGAAAGAACAAGGTATGGGAATACCTCTTTATTCAGTTTAAACCTCTAAGTGAATAACATATAGATGGAAAGAATATGTCACACAGAATGGAGAAGGGTATAATTAAAACCAGAAAGAGCTTCCTGTCAGATATTTAACTGCTTGCCACTTCCCTTATTCAAAAGATGCATGGACCCTAGGTTTGAAAGGAAAGACTGTGGATCATATACAAGATTTCCTAAAATAAGATGAGGAAAAAAAAAAAAAAGATAAAATTACGCAGGCAGGAACATTTTTTAGAGTATGCTTTCAGAGCTTCACAAATAGTGCACGATTTACGTAGCTGAAAAACTCCAGCACTATTTATGTCAAGCTAAGATGGACGGAGAATCCATCCTACCATTTTTCATGCCAGCAATAAGGCGTGCGGGACAGCCAATTGATTTTATTATATTTTTTTTTCTTCTCAGCTTATTGAAGCATTGTCTCTTAAAATACTCTTTTTAAAGAAATTGATGTTGAAGAATACTGGTCTCTAAGTACAGAATAGTTGAGAGGGAACAAAAAAGGTGACTTTGCTTTCACAGTCTCTTGAATATGAATTTTGCTTGAACAGATGCAGATTTCCTTTAGGATTGTTAAATATTTTCAGTGCTGATAGCTGGCTAATTTTGCTACTTTTAGAGTAAACAGTTGGCTTAAAACAGGAGTTGGATGAAGCAAGTGGAAAAAAACAATGTCCTTCTCCATTCAGTGCTGTTTAAATATGCACAAATAAATTCCAACACTGTGGACTTCAATCTTGTGATGTTACCAAGTTATGTTGTGACAATACTTGCGTTGTAACATCACCTAGAAAAAAATGCAGATGTCAAGAGAAAGTGAGCTGCACTGGTCTGCTGCCTGCCAAGAGTCCTGCGCTGTTTGTCCTCTTCAGAATTGGAGGAGAATTTCTTCCCCAGAGCCAGCATTTTCTCATTACTCTTGTTGCTTTACTACAGCTTGAGCTACGCTAAGCTGGTACTTGAAGTCAGCGCTGTGCGTTGAATTGTGTGGTTGAATTGTGTGAATGCTGCTCCTAAATTCTCAAGTGCAAACCTCTTTGAGCTCATCCTTAGAAAATGAGCTGGAGAAGTAGTCACCATTTGAGGTCCTGAGAAACTTTTGGAGGCTGGAATGGCGTGGATGTGTAACGGCATGCAAATAGGGAGCTCTTTGTGAACAGAGCTAGCTATCCTCCAGCGTTCCCCTTGTGCTGAGTGTGGGAATAGAGACTAACGCCTGTGTGACTACCTGCTTTTATGTATTACTAGAGGTCCGTTACAATTTCTGATGATTTACATTTAACTTGTTTATTCATGGAGATGCAGCAAAGAAGTTTGAACAGTGCTCTTTGTTCTCTTTGCAGAAACAAATGGAAATGTGCTGCTTCTGCTTAGTCCTAGTAAAATATGACCCAGCTAGATATTAGCTACAACTTTTTTCCAGAGGATTAGAGCTTGCAGTCCTATTTCTGTCTCTTCTCTTTCACATCTTACAGCAGAATCTCTTAAAAATAAATTGTGTATAACTGTGAAGAGATTGAACAGTTGATAAAAAATACTGTAAACGTTTCATGAGTCTTCAAGTTGCTTTGGGGTTGGTGAATACATTTAAAGTTGATTAGTGATGCAAGCCACTGCTTTTTGCTGTTGTCTTTTACTGTCTGTTGCAATTGCTGATTACAAGGAGGCTCAAAACAGCTGCCCATATATTTTTTTTTGCTTTATTTTTTGGCTTTTGAGATTATTCTTGGATCATATGGATCTTAACTTTACAGGAAAAGGTGGCTGGGGCTGGCTTTAAGTAGGTCAGTAATTATTAGATGCATGGTTTCTACTTGGTAGTGCAAAATGAACGTTAAGTTTCCTTGCCCTCAGTAGGGACAACACTGCCCTCGCGACAGCAGGATATTGCTTTAGTCTCTGTAAATATGATAATTTCTGCCCTTTGTCCTGTCCTGCTTTTTCTTCTGGTTTTGAATGGTGTCAGTGCTTGCAGGAATTGAGTTGGGGATTCTTCAAACTCAGTGCTTGTAGGCATAAAATCTAGGGTGGTGGTATGGGCTTTAAAAATTGAAACAGTGCAGATGTCTTCAAATGAAGCCCAGGTATATATCTGAATAATTAGGTCTTTAAAAACTTTTATTCCTGGGATTAACTGTACTAGAAATGATGCAACTGAGTTTTCAGGATGGTTTTGTACCTTAGGATGCCTATTGAGCTTTCTTTTCTACCTTTGGCACAAAGGAGATAGGATGGTTTTCTGGCCAGCACTTAGAGCCTAGCATCTGAAGGCTCATTTCAGTGCTGATGGATGGTGCTTAGACCTGCAAACTGCTGCTGTCTTCAGAGAGGAGGGGGAGCTGGAAGCATCAGGGCACATGAATACCAGTAGCCAAATGTCTCCTGCTGCGCATGTACGCATCCGGGTGCTTTGATAGGCAAATTGCCACTGCTGGATTTGTAACCAGCAGAGAAGGGAGAAATGTCTCAAAACTGTCTCCCAACATCTTGACCCACCCATTCGGACTTGTGTTGTGCATGACTTTTGACAACGAACACCTCTTCCTGCTATAGGTGACAACTTAATGGTTTTATTCCTTCTTGATTGCTTTGAGGCTGTAGTGATGTGGCTTTTGCAGAAGTCCTTAGGCTTATGTCTTGTAGATAATGACATGCCAGGACCTACTGGCATACTGGCACTCATATAGACATAATATGAATCTTGACATGGGCTAAATTTTTCTATCGAGAAGTCTACATGCGTTAGTAACACTAAGGACATAACTTCCAGAACTAGAGGAGAAGTTATTCATGAATCTGTCACCTTGTATTTCTTGGAGTTGTTTAATCTACTCATTGAGATCATTCTGTAAAAACAGGGAGATAAGATAATGCTTTGACTGCTTAGTGCCTGCTCTGTTGGCTGGCTGTGACAAGAGCTTTTCACTGCAGTCACTGTGATGATCTGGTTGTGGCTTCAGCTGCAGAACTAGGGTCATAAATAGTAGGTCTGACTACTGTTTGTTTGCAGCTGAAAGGAAATAAGAGTCAGTGACGCTGTAGTTATGTGGCTGTTTCAGGTTTACATCTTGTGAATGGGAAAAAGGGCTCTTGCCTAGTCAGCTTCCAAATACTGCACCAATGGCTATTTCAGGTTTATAGCATAAGATGCTATTTTTCACCCATGCTAATTCCATAGGCTCATCGAAAACTTAGAAGTAACTAAAGACTACGCACTGGAACCTGTGCAGAGCTGATGTGCTGAGGGGTCCACTTCAAATACCTTCACCTTTCAGCACTGTTTGCTACAGGTGATTGAAGTTACAGATGCCATCTTCGGAAATCTTCAGAGGTTATTTCATCTGTGGAATGATGACTTGGAAAAATTTAGTTGTTGGGTTGAAACAGAGTCCTTAAATCCTCACAGAGCAAGCCATCTAGCTATTAAGGGATCTATGTCAGCTGCCTGTATGGCTTTTATGCAGGCTTCGTAGGGATAGAATAAATCATGAAAAAACTAATTTTTAGCCTCCTAAACCACTGAAGGTATTTCATAGCTTTAGTAGATTACCATGTTAATAGCAGTTGCTAGCTAGGATTAGAGGTGTTTACTCACTGCTATCAGTAGTTGCTATCTCAGGAATGATCTCATTTTCAAAAACACATGAAACTAGCCTCAGGAGCTGCAGGGGCAGGTTTTGTAGCTTCCAGCTGGTGACATGTGCCAATCCGTTCATGTCCTTTTAGTATTCTCGGTACTTGAGGCAACAGGGATTACACAGGCCTCTTGATGTTTTGCTAAAGAAATGCGAGTCTTCCAGTTCTGGCTCATTTC